GATATTAGTGTATGTATGGTACATCTTAGAGAACAATGTACCATATTGATTATCCATGAGAATGCCTTTTGAATTATATTGTAAAAGTCAATAATTCTTATAGTAATAATTGTGTATGTGATCCTTAAACTTAAAGTGATCAAGGTTTCAATATAGGAGGTTGTATATTTGATGTAGTCGTGTTTAGTAACTAGACGTACTATGAAGATTGTCGTTGACTATACCATAAATTGTGTTGTGGGATGTACGTGATTTTTATAAAATTTGTCCTCATATAATAAGAGTGATATCCTAATTGAGACTAAAAATGTATTGTGTTAATATGAGATGTTGAATACATTTGTACGTCTTAATCTACTTGAAATTCAAAAATATAAATTATTAGACTACACAAATTAAATTATTTCACGACTAGTATTCAATTTAGATATGACGAAAAATAGATAATATGCTAACATTAGTATGGAAAGATTGTCGGGTTCGATATTGTTGTAATTTGGATAGTAGTAATATATTGCTAAATATAATTTATTATTTGTGATATGATCTTATTGTTGTAATAAGAGGTGATTAAGAGGTGCCTCGATGATCCAATTATAGCATCGAGATCCTCCCATTGTTATGAAGTTTGAACTCTTCTTGTAGGGTCATAGCTGGCTGAAAGGCAACTTCGACGATAGTTTTCTTACTTCACATTACACCATAATTGCAAGAATTCTAGAGATGATGAAGGCATCGTTAGGTTTAATATGAGCAAGAGGGATGTTTATTAATAAGGTGTCCACTTCTCGAAATTAATCGAATTAACCAACTGAATTAAATTAGTTCAGTTAAATGATCGGCCATTAAAATTTGGTCGGTCAAGGAATGATTAATTTTTTTTCAATATTCGATTAACGATTAATTCGGTTTGAAATTAATTAATTACCTGAATAAATTGAATTAATCAAAATATTAAATATATATTTTAAGTTTAAACCCATTAAAAATTAAGACCTAATAATTTTTTTAACCATATAAGATCCATTATTTTATCAAGACCTAATTAAAGTTTAAACCAATTAAAAAAATACTTATATTAAACTCAAAGTAATCTAACTAAAAGTTTAGAAAAAATTCGGTTAATTCGATATTATAATTGTAACTTTCTATAATATGAATGATCATATTATAATTGTTTATAATTAAGTAATAGAAAAATTGACCAATAGTTTAATTACTCAATTAATAGTTGATCCTTTATTTGCAAAACAGTACACGGTAATTAATTGAGTAATTAAACCAAAGAAAAATTCTACAACGCTTGTTGAGCGCAGATGGGCACGGTTAACGATGAACATCATTAAATTAATTTATAAAATGTTAAAGTATAAAGTACTAAATATATAATTATAAATTAGTTAAAAATTTAAATGTAATTTAATTAAAATACAATATTTATAAAACATTAGTTTTTAGATTAAACTATATCATTAACCACCTAGAATATTTTCATTTATTTTTAAAAAAATCATCCAATCAAATGGTGCCATGTGTCACCCATTGAATGAATAGAAAATAAATTGAATCAATAACCGCTATTGGTGGGGTCTGAACCAAAAGACATGAGGAGAGGAAGCAAACGCCCCAACCATTGGGCTACACCATTCAAGTGACAAACCTATCACGACATAATATATGCAGTTAATGGCAATAAAAAAGGAAAAATAACCTAATAAGAACTCCAACATAGAATAATTGAATAATAAGATATTATGATATATATAGATATATATATATATATATATATATTATATATATATATATATATATATATATATATTATATATATATATATATATATATATATCATATCTGATTAATATGTGAATGTATTTTATTTATATTTTAAATATTTTAATGAAAAAAATAAAAATAATTTTAATATATTATAATTGAAATATAACGAACTTCGTTGACTTAGAATTTTCCTGATAGTTGAGGACTTATTGTAGTAAGCATTTTAACTTATGCATTGACTTGTTTATATCCTGGTTAGAGTAAGAATTTTATATTTTATTATTTATTCATTATATATTTGAAAAAAAATTAGAGGAAACTTGGTTTTATTGAATTAGTCTATTTTAATATATAGTTGTTAAATAATATTACAATCCGATCGATGTTATAATATTTTAAAATATAAGATATGATACATTTCAGTTCAATAAAATTAGAGTAATGAAGACAATTTATTAATTTAAAATATGTAAAATGATACATTTCAATTATAACATATTAAATTCACTTTTATTTTAATTTTTCATTTAAAATATAAGTAGAACATATTCATTTATTAATCAATTATAATATTATATTTTCATACTATTTAATTATATCATGTTTGACTACTTATAAAGTCATTTATTACCATTAACTATATCATAAATTATATAGATTATGTTCTGTGTCATAGACAAATTTAATGGTCAAACTTAGTGGTTAGGGTGTTTAAGTTTTTGGCTTGTATCCTAAGTTCAAACCCCACCAACTGATGTTATCGTTTTAATTTATTTTTCATTTATTAAATTGGTGACACATGACACCATTTGACTAGATATAAAATATATTAAATAAAAAATATTAAAAAACATCCATTCACAAAGTGACACATGTCACAATCGAATTGATGAATAAATTTATTGAATTAAATAAAATTTAGGACCAAATTGATAGAATATGTAAGTAATGAAGACTAAATTTGTAATTATACAAATTTTATCAAATGGCATGTCATCTCCTTGGATAATATTTAACGAAAGGTGACTTAATTGACAAGATTTAAATAATTAGGTAATTCAATTGACAAACAAAAAAATCGGTGGTTAAAGTAAAAAGAATAAATAATTAGATGATTAATAGTATAGTTTTTTTTGGATAATTCAGATTTTATTACCCAAAATAGCTGCTACAAAACAATCCAATCAATGGAACAAAAAGGGAACCTATATACAACAAAAATTAGACTATACTCCAATGATTACAAAGAGCTAAATTTTTAATATCTAATCTATTAACAATCCTATCACTTAGATGAGTTGCTACTATCTCCTTAATAGTAGGGGGGTGTTCATTCGGTTAAAAAGGTGGCCGATCGAACCAAATTAACCAAACTTTTTTTCCTTTAGCCGTTAACTGAACCAAACTTTTTTTTTTAAAAATATTAACCGAACCGAATAAATTTCGGTTAATTTTCTAATTAATCAATTTTTTTTAATTTTATAATTTATACAAAAATGGAAAATTTTTTAATTAAAAAATAGTTTACAATTAATTTAAATAATATATAATTATAAAATAAAAATTTTATATGGATTTATTTATTTAATTAATTAATATTGATTTAGGTTTAAAAGTTATTGGATCTTATATTATTAATTGGGTTTTAAATGGTTTGGGTTAAGCCCATATGTTATATATAATATATTTAAAATTTAATTTCGATTAATTAACCGATTTCAAATCGAATTAACCGTTAACAGAATTCTAAAAAATTTATTAACCGTTCCCGACCGAATTAATCGAACTAATTTGGTTCGATCGGTTAATTCAGTTAAAACCGAAAAATGAACACCCCTACTTAATAGTGTTAATTATTTCTTCCTCAGTTCTGCAATTCCCTTTGAAAATCCTTCGATTCCTTTCCTCCCATATGGTATAGTTGAAAGCGTACCAAGAGAGCTTCAGAATACTAGTAAGCAGTGATTTACCTTTCCATGAAGAGGACGCCCATTCCAGCAAGCTAGTCCAGGTCGAGGAAGATCTATTCAAGCCAGACAGTTGGAGAATTGATCTCCAAATGGAAGCAGTCTTCATGCATTTAGCAAAGAGGTGGTCTCTAGTTTCCTGTGCTTCAGAGTAGAAAAATACAGTTATCATTGGTTACAAGACCAAAACGTTGCAATCTGTCGCTAGTAGGAAGCCGCTCCAAAATAACCATCCAGGATATCATGCTATGCTTCGGGATATGAAGAAGATACCAAATCAGTTTTTGCTATGGAACTTTAATGTCTTTGAGTCGAATCTCTTTCCAAATTTCTTTTGTGGTATTAGCTGCTGTTGCTAGAACTGGCCGAACAACACTTCTAAGTTTCAAAAATCTCCTGAAGCTCCAGCTAGAACTCGAAGATTCTTCCATGATCCAAAAATCTTGATGCTTGATTATGTAACTATGAATCCAGACTACCCATAATGAGCCTTCCCCGCAAGTAATTTTCTGGTAAGAAGAATCAGGAACGCTCTAGTCCAGGACTTGATGTCCTTTAATCCTAGACCTCCTTCTGATTTAGACTTGCATATTTTTTCCCAGTTCACCCTTGCTTCAGCTCACCCTTAATGGTATAGTTTACCTTAAAATTAATGTTTTATAAATATTATATTTTAATTAAATTATATTTATATTTTTAACTAATTTATAATTATATGTTTAATATTTTAAAATTTAATTTAATAATATTTATTATTAATTGTATTAATCTATACTCTACTCGTACAACGTGACAACACCATCTAAACATAAACCTTAATCCATTCTTAATACCGTGTAAACACCTATATATTTTTCCTATGGTTTTTTTGTCGTTTTTGTATAACAAGGCTAATATAGTCACATCATGTCCACATATTTTAATCATTTAACGCCGTCACGACCGACCTTTTAATATAAACCAATGGATCGTTTGAACTTTGACGTCCGTCTCGATCTTCCCCTCTCCATTTTCACGCGCCACGTGTCGCTTGTGAGATCTCCAAAATCTCTAAATATGCTACTGAGACACCCAAACTCTAAGCTTTTGATTCTGTCCAGCTCAGCCATCCTTTGCCCCCCAAAATGTTAGCCACGTTGAAGCATCTTCATCCGACGTGGAATTTCTTACACGTCCACTTTGTCCACGTCATCATCCTTGGAATCTTCTTACAACTTGATTTAACATCTCTCTTACACCCTTCCCGTCTCCTAAACAAAAGGTCGGCGATTTCTCTTCCGACTCTGTTTCTCGGGCAGTCAAATTAAACCGCAATGCGTTCATATTAGCTGAAAATTCTCGTTTTAATGTGAAATATTATTATGCTTTGAAATTAATTTCTGGCTTAATTTTTTTTTGCGCTATGTTTTAAATTCAAATATGTTTCCGATCGAGCTCAACAATGGATGATAGTTGAAGCTTTGGCGAGGATTTCTTCGTTTCTAGCACCTGTAAGTTCTTTAGTTTTTTTTTATATTAATTTTGAATAATTTCTTTTATTGAATTACATTACTTTTTCCACCGTAGATTTCAGATTTACTTTTACTTTGAATAGTTGAGAAATAACGTTTGTTTAAGCTTAGTATTTCTATGCTTCTTCAGATCTTTTGATTAGGTTTTCATTGGTAGTAGAAAAGCTTTACTTTAATATTAAGAGCAGATTTGTAGTTGCTTGATTTTAGGGTTTTGGCCTAGAAGTCTTTAAATTTTATTTGATATAGATAATTTGAAATTACTTTGTGGTTAACTGTTCATGTGTAAAATTAAGCTTGTGTTCTGGAACGTTGAGATTGTTCCTTAAAATGAGGAAATATATATTGGACTCGGACTTTTGCTTGATTGGATTTAAAGGTTGGATAATGGTGGATTACTTTGATAGGTGCTCTGTTTTTTCTACAGGGTGAAAGCTGGGGAGCATGGAGTTGGTAACTGAAGATTAACAGGAGTTATATTTTCTAGTGGTGATTTATTTTACTTTTAATTATGGAACCCCTTTGTGATTTACTCGTGTTTTAGGTTGATCTGTGTACATTTTTAGAGGTTTGGCTTCTCGGAGACAAAGCTATGTACTATTTGTTTTGTGAATTGGAGGAATTTATTGTTTCAATGCAAAACCATCCGTACTGTCATCAGTTTTTTTCTGTTCTGGTTTACAGGGAAGTGTCTAGATGAATGTTGATAGCAACGGTGACGAAGAGTTAAGAGAACTGAATCATCAGCTATATGATGGTAACAAGATAACTTCAAATGTTGTTGTGGCTGAGGAACATGTGACACTGGAACGAGATGACCTGAAAGTTAACAAGACCACAGAAAATGTAAAAGATGGTCATTTGGAGGCTATTTGGGGCCTTCAGTCCCCTGCTGTGGTGCCAATACCACAGCAACAGCCTCAAAATGCAATGTGTTGCTGGGAGAGGTTTTTGCATGTAAGAACGGTTACTGTTCTGCTAGTAGAAAATGATGATTGTACTCGTCATGTTGTCACCGCTCTTCTGCGCAATTGTAGTTATGAAGGTTAGTGATTCAAGTCTTTCTAGGATTGTAAAAACAAAACAATTTTTCTCTACTGCTTTTCTTTGGCAAAATTGTAAAATTTGAGCCTCAGAATTATCCAGGCACACCTTTGTCAAGGTTTGGAGGTTATTCTATAAATAATAAAATTTCTCATGCTTGCAATCTTAAGATATTTCATACCGCACAGAACGGAAGCTGATTTCTCAACTGGATTGATTTGATAATTAGCCTCTCTTACTGAAAGACTTGAAAATATTACTAGTTTTGTATTTTGCCTGTTGAGAATCAAACTAAGCTAAGCCTAATCCAGCTTGCGATAGCACTTGTGGCCAGAATTTTTCTTATTTGTATTTTGCATTTTATCTGTTCATAGATTCATATACTTGAATATTTGGTTAGATTTTGTCGATGAAATTTTATGATGCCTATTTATATCTGATCAGTTATTTCATATTAAGTTCTCTCTTCTTTTCCTTTTACATGAGAGGCATGCTATTCCAGAATTCTCGACTTATTAATTATCTGATCAAGTATAGGAGCTTATGTGCCTATGCCAACTGAAACACTAACTTTTTATTCCCAGTTATTGAAGCTTCAAATGGATTACAAGCCTGGAAGATACTAGAAGATTTGACCAATCATATTGATCTTGTGTTGACTGAGGTGGTTATCCCTGGTTTACCTGGCATTGTTCTTTTGAACAAGATTGTGAACCACAAAACACGTAAAAACATTCCCGTTATCAGTATGTTCTCCAGTCTCTGCTTCTTTTTGTTAATTGTTCTGGCTTCTTATTCTTGCTTTCACATTGAGATCTCTCAAATAGAGACTTTCAACTACTAATTTTGATGAGATCTGCATGCAGTGATGTCATCTCATGATTCAGTGAAGGTAGTCTTTAAGTGTTTGTCAAAAGGTGCTGTTGACTTTTTAGTGAAGCCCATTCGAAAGAATGAGCTTAAGAACCTTTGGCAGCATGTTTGGAGGAGATACCATTGCGTGAGTTGTTATTTTATTGTACTCCATCCATACATCTGTAAAGGGGAAAAATGCAAAATAAATAAATAAATAAATAAGGAGAGGAAGAGAAAACTGATTATTTATAAAAAAAAAATGAAGAGAGAGTGAATTGGATTATATGTTATACTTTCATTGTTTTCTTTGCTGAATGATCAACTTTTTGCTCCCACAGTTTAGTGGTAGTGGAAGTGAGAGTGGAACACAAACTCAAAAATCTGTGAAATCAAAAAATGTTGAGAAATCTGATAACTCTGGCAGCAATGATGAGGACGATAACAGGAGTATTTATCTAAATGTTGGGGATGGCAGTGATGATGGGAGTGGTACTCAGGTATTATAAGTTGCAGAATATTTTTATGAGATTAATATCTAGTAGAGATGTTTAGGCATTGCATTGTAGAAATCTTCCATTGAACCATAATTTGCAACTTGGTTTTTGAAACTGATATTCATTCATTGATTTATGTCATAGCGCAGTGAGGGTAATATTTTTTTTCCCAGTATGCATTGATTTGTAATATTTAAAGATATCATGTTTTTGAATCTTTGATTGTAATGGGCTTAAACTTACATTCAAGTTTAATATAATGACTCAATGTTCCACTGAAACCACTATAGCATAAAATGAGTTCTGATTTGTAACTATAAGTCATTGAACTAACAATTAATCTCTGCCTATCTTAACCTTTGCTTAGGAAATATGGATGTACTAAGAGAACTGTGTATTCTTATAAAGTTATTTAGTACCTCATACCCAAGCTTGAAAGATTTTTACTATATTAAGAGATGGCTAGTAGTTTTTTATCTTCAACAGCACAAGAAGTACATGGGTTGTATATCAAGATTTAGTGACAAAATGCAACCTACTAATCCATTTTAAAACTTTCAGAACTACATTATTTTTTCTCACCTTTAATTGAACCTCAATCTGAAAATGTATGGCAGTCTTCACGATCTATTTTATGCATTCAGAACTTAGGGCTGCATTATCTACAGAAGTCACATTCCTAATCACTTCAAACCTTGTGGTGTATGGGCTCTTGCCTCTATCTTCCTTATCCTTTATGCTTGAGCTGAATAGCTCTCGAACATTGAATCAAAAGATTGCATAAATTATTAGAAACCTTGACATATATGTTCCAGAAAATTATTAGTGTATTCTCTTTTTGCAGAGTTCTTGGACAAAGCAAGCGGCAGAAGTTGATAGCCCCCGTCCAGTCTCACACTGGGATCGAGTTGCTGAGTGTCCTGATAGTACATGTGTCCAAGTTATCCATTCCAATGCAGAAGTATCTGGGACCATAAGGGTGCCAATGACTGCAGCAAGGGAGTGCCAAGAACGAGATGAACAGCTTGGTAAATATGAATTTTTAGGTGTAGCTTAGCATAAATCTTGCTGGCTATATCTTTCGTTAAAAAGAACAACTTCTCTTTCCTTCAATAGGAAAATGGAATCTCATTTCGTTCTTTTCTTTTTCCCGATCCTTTCTATTTCAGATAATGTTGCAATAGGTAAAGACCTGGAGATGGGCATGCTGAGGAATGTAGATTTACAACTAAATAGCGCAGCTGAGGTCCCAATCAAAACAATTGGAACCAATCAATTTAACGTAATTGAGGTGGGTTCCAGTAAATTTAATGAACAGGTTGATAAAAGGAGGCTGGACCTTAATTGTGAAAGTCCATCTTGCATACTGATGTCTGAAGATGCTGCTCAAAACGGCATCACCTCCAAGACTACTAATCTGGAGAAGGAAACTGCAGAGTATGAGGCTTCAAACAAACTTTCCAAGATCTCAGATAGCAATGATAAAACCGTCAATGATTCCAAGGAACTATCATCTATTGATCTCGGCTTGAAGAGACTTAGAGGAGTTAAAGATGATGGGAATGTGGTTAGAGATGAGCGAAATGTTTTGAGACGTTCAGACTCTTCTGCCTTCTCAAGGTATAAATGAGGGGAGGGGACTGAGGGGCTAACAAATATGAACATCAATTAACTGAATCACAGAGAAGTTATCTTTAAAGATTTGTTGAGTTCTGAATAGTTTTGACTGTTATGCTATTGCCTGCAGGTATAACACATCACCAAATGCAAATAAGGTTCCTGTTGTCAACATTGGAAGAATCTCATCTGCACTTGATAATAATTTAGAACTGATAGGAAAAGAATCAGTTTGCAATGTTCGATCTCATTTGGCTAGTGAATGTCCAAATCAATGCTCAAATGTTGGTAGTGATAACATTGATATGGGCTCCACAACTAATAATGCTTTTGCCAAGCCAGCTGTTTTGAAGAACAAGTCAGCTGCATCATCCAGAGTTGGATCTTCACATCCATCCTCTACTTTCCAGCATATGAAAAATGATGTTACGAGTGCTACTCAGAAAGTTGCGTTAGGCAGGGTTGTCAGTGCAACTACTAAATCAGGAGTAGCTCAATCTAGCGACCAAGAGCTCCAAATGGATCATCCCCCAGACCATTATGATCACCATGACCATCTTACCCACAGTAGGCAACAGCAGGAACAGCCATCCGAACATGATGATTTATCTTTGAAAAAAATGGCTGCATATGCTCCTCATTGTGGGTCGTCCAATGTGTTGGGTGGACCTGTTGAAGGAAATGCTGCCAACTACGGTGTCAATGGAAGTTGCTCAGGTAGTAACCATGGAAGCAATGGGCCAAATGGAAGTAGCATAGCAGTCCATACTCTAGGCACAAACATGGAAAGTGCCAATGGAATAGATGGGAAAAGCGGAAGTGGTGATGCTAGTGGGAGTGGGAATGGGAGTAAGGCAGACCAGAGCAAGTCTGCTCATAGGGAAGCTGCCTTGACCAAATTTCGTCAGAAGAGGAAAGAAAGATGCTTCCGGAAAAAGGTAATTTAGATTGAGCTGTTTAATAATATACGAGATATTCGAAGTTTGCCTTTAAAATCTTCAAGGCACTAGTACATGTTATGCCATTTATCTCTGACATGAACATATTACATACAGGAGTATTTTAGTTTCCGTTTTGACTAGGAAAACTATTCTGCCTCAATCTTCCTACTCATATGAGGGACTGGCCACTCCCATTGTTTGGGAGACCAGTGTTAGGATGCAGCATTTTTATTATTCAATTGGAGCTCATTAATTTCAGACTATAAGTAAATTTTTCTTAGTATTTTGGATTTTTCCAGGTTCGGTACCAAAGCAGGAAGCAACTAGCAGAACAACGACCTCGCAGCATCCGAGGCCAATTCGTACGGCAAACAGTGAACAAAAATGATCCAGCATCCGAAGGTAATTCATGAGACGAATAGTGATCAGGAACACAAGCAGAGCAAGAGAACAAATTTAACCCCCTTGCTGAATATTTGGTCCACTCATTATGGGAAGACCTTAGTGTAGACTATTGGATGATGTTGACTTGATGAATTGCATTCCATCGCTGTAAACCTTTGTTTTTCTCTCCTTCAATGTACTTAACTTGTGCATTAGTCATTAGGGGAACTGCAGAAGACTTCTTAAATAAGACCCCATTTCATTTTGTGTGCTGGATTCACGAACATCATTGAACAATTGGGTGCTTTCAAAAACTTTTATTCATATTCATTTTTATTGCTTCTTAACTGATATTTCTTTCTGAAATTATCATTGGAATTGTGTTACTTTTACTATAGTCTGTTTTAGGGATTTAAATAGCAATCGGATAATGGAATAGTGGTCGTTATATAATGGTAGCAGCTTCGTCCGGAACTACTCCCGAAAATAGGTGTGAAGTGGAATCACACTAATAGTGATGGGTCAATGCCGTAATTTAATGGATGACGATCAATTGTGGCAATAACGGGCCTCTATTTCTGTTATTGATCAGTTCTAATAAAAAGAATCAACTCCTAAAAAATCAATAGAAATATAATAGTATTAGAAAGTTTTCTAAAAACATTAAAATGAATTTAAGAAAAAATTCACTACCGTGATACCCGTAATAATAAAAATATTCATGACCGCGATAATTACAATGAACATAATAGCATGACAAAAAAAAAATACAGCCGCAATCACAATTTAAATAGATGTTTGGTATTTTGAAGTGATTTATAAAAAACACTAAAAACATTCTACCTTTTCCTTATTTCATTTTATTAACTTTCTTAAAAATTCTCTTTCATTTCATTTCATTCATGTTTTTTTTATTTAAACTTAAACGTGGAATTTGGACTGATTTATAATCATTGTTTAAACAATATAGAATTTATTTATAACTCTTGTAATCTATTGACAACATATACCCTACGATATTGCTGCTCAAAAGATTCCCCTAACTCAAAAGAGATTCAATCTTCAACTAATTAATTGGTACATGATAAACCCACATAAAAATGATATCAAGAATGACAATCATATTCTTGCTCTAAATTGGGTTGATGCTACTCTATTTACATTGATTTTGTTTATCCTGTCAAATTATCTCTAGCTCTTATTTTGCAAATTCTAATGAGTTTGGTTTGCTTTTATGGTTACTATTTTTGTTTTGGATTAAGCATAAATTGTGTAAAGTTTGTCAATTATGCTCCATCAGCTACTGTTTCCTCCCAGGTTCCCTCTTCTTCTGGATATCTTACGCATTTCAAGATCTTTCAACCTCTCATGTTTTCATCATACATGCATGCATACGCACATACATACATACCCCAGGTTGAAATTGTACACTTCGGATACATGCTTATATATTTACACATTATACAGAGGACCTCTAGAGCATAATTTGGCAGTCTCTAGATCTTTACCATGCAGTTGGTTCAAGGTTGTCTGTTGGAACAAAGAAATGATCACAACCTCCCCATAGGCCGTATCGAAAATGACCTCGAGATTTCCGAAAAACTATAATGGATTGTTTGATTTCGGACATCGATTGATGTCCATTAAAACTGGAGCTGTTAACATATGCTAACCATTTAGTTTTTACCCTTGTTTTCTTATGGATTATGGTAATTTTGCTTGCAGAAGTTACTACAGATGCACTAATCTAACATGCAACGTGCGGAAGCATGTGGAAAGAGCGTCGGATGATCCAAGAGCCTTAATTACAACATATGAAGATAAACATAACCATGAGATGCCACTTTGGAACACTGATCATGCAGCTGCCGCCGATCCCAACTCCGACTCGTCCACAATCGAAGACAAGCGATGATGATAGCATAATGAAGAAGCTAGAGAGTTGTTTCCGGCTTCATATCCAGTCTCGTGAAAGGCTCCGGTTGAGGGCACCGAGGGTCATGCTTTCACTTTCGATTATTAAAATTAAAATTAAAATATATATATTTTTAGTGTAATGTGCAGGGATTTAAATAGCGGTCTGCGACCGCGATAGCGCCGGCGATATAGCGGTAGTGGTGCCCTCCGCGACCGTTATTATATGACCGCAACGCTCGAATCACCGCAATAGCAGTAAACGCGACGCAACAAAAAATGTGACCACGATCACAATTTGAATCTCCAGTAAGCGTGTACATTATTTTATTGGATTTAATATATTCTTATACCCTTCTAAAATATTTAAGGGTAAACTACACATTTAGTACTTAAACTATCAGTTTTGATTTATTTTAATACCTAAACTTTCAATTTTTTTCATAACCATACCTAAAATTTAGTTTTTGTTTTATTTCAGTATACCGCCGTTAAGTTTTGAAAAGCAAAAATGGAAGTCTACGTACCAAAGCACGTTTAGTACCTAAATCATCCTTAAATCTTGAATTTTTTTTGAAAATTTAGGTACTAACACGGATCAAAACTGATAGTTTAGGTATTAAAAGCGTTAAGTTTTTAACGACGGGTATTAAAAAGAAACAAAAAGTAAACTTTAGGTATGATTTTGAAAAAATTGAAAGTTTAGGTGCTACATGCGTAGTTGACCCAATATTTAATTATCTTCCCAAATTCTTTCAAAATATCCTTATAATTTTTTAATTATTTTTTAAAATTCTTTTCATCTTTGTTATTAAAAGGTTCTTATTATCAAGTTCCAACTTTCCTTTTACCTTTTTGGGTATCGAATAATAATTTTTTTATTGAAATTTCAATTAAGATGTACTAAATGTAAATTAATTTCGATCATTATACTTGACGTTATTTTCTATCACGAGCACAATATTTTCAATACCAAAATAAAAGCTTTATTTACTGAACGTTTGATTATCAATCAACTTGTACAAGTATACTTGGTTTCGGACTGATACTTTCTACTAATAGATCCCTTTGTTACCCTACAAGCATGTTCATAAACTACAAATAAGGTCAAAGAGAGGAATTAAAAACCAAAAGAGATGGCTTAGAAGTGGCTTGCTTGGCTGTGGAACCACAAACCGAAAGGATAACATGGCGCCGGAGCTACCCGAGACTAAAGTTCCCTTTGCGGTGGGTGCTCGATTTGGATTCGAGCTCGGTAGACTCCTTCTCTTTTCCCTGCCATGTCGAATGTTCCAAGTTTACGAGCTTTGAATAAAGGCAAAGGAAATAGATATGCTACACTTTCTTTACTCTAAGCCTAATGGAAAATTTTGGAACAATTGCAGGCACCATTAACTCTATTTCATGTCAGAGTAAAACCTCCCGAAACATGGAGAACCGGCGAGGTCAAATATTTACCTTGCTCTTCTCGCGCCATCTAAGTCCGAATGACAATAGGTCACCCACCTTTCTTCTAGCACTGTCGAGCTGAGTCCTACAAAAGCAACATGTTATAAGATACGAACTACATCATGTATCTGGAAACTCGTAGTAAACTTTCCATTAAGCAAATAATATTCATGACATGCATAAACGGTATCTCTAGATGCACCATAGCATTGTCCTGCTACTGAGTAGAGATTTTATGCCGCCATAGTCGTTTTCATCGGCATTCTCTTGTTTTTGTACGTAAAATAAGTGAAAGCTGAAAGAGAATGAAGCTTAAACATTTCTTACTCCTGAGAAGATGGTGTATTAGTTTTGCCAGATTCACTTAGCATGGTAGCCTCCAGCATTGATTCTGCTAAAGCCGCCCTCTTCTCCATTTCCGCAATAGAAGCCATAGCCTTCTCGTATTTCTCCTGCAAAGTACCTTTGACTGAGAATCGATATAGTCACAAATGAAAGAAGACCGAAAAGAAAAATACACACTATTCATGGGATCTTGAATTTAATCTGAGCACAGGAATCTTAAAGTGAATTTGAACAAACATCAGCTCCTTTAGTGAAAGACTCAAAACGATCAAGCAAAGCACACCATATCAACTATTTGACAGATTAACCAGCCATGAAGTTGTTATAGGAAAAAGTTTCCTATCGGTAGATTATATTTCTCGATACGAATCGCATCACAAGAATGTCTCCTAGCATGAAACTCAACTTAAAAACAGAATGAGTAAATTCCTGATTTGTGCATACTCGAATATCTTTCAATTTATCTTTCAATCCTACACGAAAAAGGATGAAATCTATAGGTTAACATTGTCTGTGAGAGATTCCACATCTAGAGCAGATAAGAACCTGAAGCACAGAAACTGCCATTCTCTCGGCAACTGCATCTTGTTCTGCATGTTTGCGTCCTTCTTCGGTTATTATTTGCTCTTGCTCAAGCTGCACCAAAACCTGTACCATGTGGAACCTAAAAAACACTGAGGACTTGTAATAGAATAAGAGCTAAGCCATAGTTCCAAAAATAAGAAAAAAAAGCATTAGAGAAGAGTCAAAATTATACCTTATTCACAGCAGCTTCTTGTTCTTTTTTATCGGCAAGAGCTTGGTGTAGATCGGCTATCTCTTGCTCTAACTCTTCAATCTGCAACATTATTAACAAACTTCAAATTCTGCAAGCACCTTGAGTAACCCAAAACTTACAGTGCAGTAAGAGAAGCATTGTTGTTGACCAAATCATACACGGGCATGTATACCAAATTGTTACAAATAAGTTTACAAAAACCTTTGCACTCAGTTCCCGTCGGTTATCTTGTTTGACCAACTCCACAAGTGCTGTCTCCAATTCCTCAGCTCTGGAAAACAACAGAACCACATTTGCAGGTAAAAAGATAGGTTATAGAAGCATTTCAAATATATCAGAAACCAGTTATCCAAATTCTTGAAGTGGACTGCTAGCTGTATTTCCACAAGATGCAGTTTCATCCATTGCTATCACGAATGAAGTAACTCCTTAAAAAGATAATACAACCGCGGATGGTAGAATATACTAACCGGAGTACAGCAGCTCTTTTTTCCTCGAGCAACCTGAACAACGCAACCTTCATCCAATTAACCTGCAAATAAACTCTGCTAATGAGTGAAACTCCAAAGGAGTTGCACAAGTGATTATTCATGTTTAACCATTACTTAAAAGTGAAACACTTTTAGAACCCTGAAATAATTTTAAGTACATTTAATTAAAAGTACTTGGGAAATGCATTAATTAAAAGTACCCTCTCCTGAAGATCTGGTAGGGAACCGATGTTCGAATCTACATTTAGGCTGGAAAGAAATTCATCCAGATTCGAGTCTCGAGGGTCCAACTTAGATGCATCTCCATCAGCTGAATCTTCAGCAGGTTTATTTTCTTCTAGCTGCGAATCATGACCGTGCTTAAAAGTGTAGAGCTTAGATGAAAGTCCTTTTGAATCTTTCCAAACCCAGCCTCTATTTATTCTTTCCTCGACAACCAGTAGCACGTCTGATCTATACTTTTCTCTCAAGTCATGTAATTTAGAGTCGGTCACGTCTAAGAAACCCATGCAGGCAGTCAGTACAAGTTGGCTGCTGTCGAACGTTGAGCCAGCAAGGGATTGCAACAAAGTGATGGCATCCCCGGCATCTTTAGTTGTAAGTAATGCAGGACCTAGAGTAAAACTTAACGTTACCAGACTGCTTTCTGATTTCATCATCCATGTATAATGATTCACATATTTTATGAATATAAAATCTCAATACCATATAACTCCATTAAAGCAAGGGCCGTTCGAAATAGCATAACACGATTTCCTTCGAATAGAATCACATCCCAAATGCGAAGAACTGGAGACCAAGATATCCATTACATGGTAAACATGATTTCGAACAGATAGAGTGCAGAGTGTTCAAAACTTGACATTTTTCAGTGAAATAACTATAAACAATTGAACTTGCATTGATAACTTTAAATCGTACCGCTTTCCCATGGAAGCATATTAACAAAAATGGAAAGGAACCATGGTGCAGAAATCCATGTCACTTGAACTCCCAAGTAATCCAGATGAGTGGCTGCAATGGGAGCATAGAAAAATCGAAAGTCACCCAAAGTGTTTCACGTAATGCACGACAAGATAATTAATAAAGAAAAAGTTGAAATGTGAACAACCCAATCTGGGAAATCTTTCACGCATCAGCTCTTCAAACACGAGTTGATCAACCTATAAAAATAGAATATTTAGAAGCACAAGTTCGTAAATTGGCAAAAATCACTTCAGAAATTCTGCAATATCATGGTAAACGAAATTAAAAACCTGAGATTCTATCATGTCCCCTGTATAGTACCCATCAAAGTAATCATCAATAATGCCCAACAAGGTCCTGAGAAATCATTGAAAGTAATCATCAATAACGAGCACAAGCATCGTCTAACAATTAGCACAAGAGAATAAGACAATCATGTTCAGAAAAGGTGGCCAAAATAAGTTTTGCTCACCCATCGACCATTCTTGGTAAAGTTTACCAATGTTACTCATATTTTAGTGTGAATGTCGGATAAGGTTACAGGTCAAACATAAGTTTGTTCAGGGTTTCCCCCCTAAATTTTGCATGCGTCATCCATGTGCCCGAGACAACATCGAATTTTACAAAATATACTCTAATTACAAATCAAAACTTTCAGAAAGCAACCACTTTATAGAAGCTACCTGAACCTACCAAAAGGCATTTTCCTCTGGCATCATAAGTAGCAATAATCCAGCAAAGAAATTCATTGCCTGCATGCTTTAGGTGTCAAATTACAAAACGTACAACTATGTTTCTACTGATAAAGGATAAGAAAGTTGCTATAATTTGGTGCAAGATTACAAAGAGAAATCAAAGTCAGTGAAAAAGAATTCTTAATTCATCAAGTACCTGACAGTACCCAACGGAGGGGTTATGCCGAACATAAGCTAAAAGTAAACGCCTCAGGGAGTCCCTACCATTATCATTCAAAGCTGGATGACCTGGAAAAGTCTGAGGTGAATCCTGAAAAATAAGCATATATGTTAGCCTAGGGAGCAATGTAAAAATCGATGAGGCAAACAATGTAGCACGAACAAGTTGAAAGAATGAACAATAAAGTAATGCATCTAATGACCTTCTCAATTTGCTTTTTCCATATTCCGAACACACCAGATGAGTTACTAAGGTGATCATCATCATATTTTTCTTGATCCAGCAAATACTCATAATATCTATCTACTCGTCTGGCCTTAACACCTACAAAGGCTTGCCACATCTGCAATCACCATATTATAGCAAATAATACACTTTTCAACAAATAAAAAGAGAATAATGAATAGAGAAGTTTCGACCTCACCTGCCCTCTGAGATCCTTTGGAACTCCTCCAAGAACAAGGCTCTCCAGCTCTTCTTTCCAAGGAAAAGGTGGTTCTTGAGAGGGATCATTGCCTGAACTGCTTTCTTCTGTAGTTAGAATCTCCTTAACACAGACCTTTTCCTCAAACTCGTCATCAGATTCTCGATCCGGAAATCTTTCGTCTTTGATTGATGGAAGATGATCTCCGCTTTCACTCATATACTTCATTTCCTTTCCCTTCTTGACCCTTGATTCCATCATATTTTCAATGGCACAAATAGCTGGTCTATTGTTACCCCATCTTTTAACATGACATGTCTTCGTTTCTTCTGCGAGCTGCACTTCCCTTTCTCTTTCACTTTCTGTCGAATAACCCGAGAAGGGCCCTTCGGTATCACTTTCTGGCGAACCAGCAGAACCAGGCTTTGCAGTCGGAGCATCTCTTTCATAGCTCCCCTCTGAAGCAACCTCTTCATTCAAATTGGTTGCCTCAGTGCTCAATGTCACATCGTGTTCCTTCTCATCATCTCCTTCTTTTACCTTAATAGTAGCCTCATCATTTACCTCACCCACCTTCGAGTGCAACGTATCTTCGGTTTCCTCCTCGGAAAGGCATGGTTCTGTATGTTTCGTTAGGTGGTCAAGGAAGATCTTCCATCTCGTCAATCTTTCCTTTTCCTCGTTCTGTGGAAGTGAATTACAATATCGATAACAAAAACCGACCATACAAATCATATTGAAAACAGATCATGAGAATACAATAATCTAATACCTCATTACCTTGTAGATGTTAACGTACTGTCTATATGTATGTATATGTTGAGGTCTCACAACAAATCCATAGGCGTCCCTGTTAACAAAAAAAAAACCACAAAAAAAAAAAGAAAAATAAGAAAAAGAAAAGAAACCCCATAACTCAACAGATTCAGACTGACTAGGAATTTACACCAAAAACATTAAATTTACAAAACTTCATGCAAACTTGCAAAGGGCATGAAAAAAGAAGGGGGAAAAACCCCCCAGAAACTTGCCTGGAATCAGATTCCAATGAGCGCCTGTTCAACAAGGACAACAACATACTTGACAAACACTTGCAATTCTACAAATGCCCATAGCTTTAAATAAAACGCATTCAACATTTCACAAAGGAAAATCCTTACACTCCTCCAGAAAAAAATAAACCAAAAGCTATGCTTTCTTTTCAGCTCCAAAAAAGTTACATTTTTTTATCATTTTTCATTAAAATTTAAAACCCAGAAATTGTTAAGAATAGATGCAGAAGCAAGAAAAACTAAAGTACCTCTTGGGTTCGAGAGATTGAAGAAAAGTTAAGGTCGACTCGGGCATTGTCGTGTTGAATGTGGATTAACAGCTAGAAAATTGGATTGTTTTTGGAAATTGTTTTGAGGGTTAACGGGTATAATTAGCAAGATGTAAGTTGTAAGGATGTTTGTAAATTAGTTATAACTGAATTTTCAGAGTTTTGAAGGTGCTGGTTAATAAAACAGGGGATTTTAAAGGTTTCCCGGTTCTAGTTGTTACAGTTACAAAAAAAAAAGGATAGACACGTGTGTAATTCGTCGGATGACGTGTACGACAAAGGGAAATTAGTTTGGCGCTTTAGCTGTGAGTTACAGACGGGTGTGGTTGAGTTTGGTTCTTCTAGACCTATATGGACAGTTAAACCTTTTAATTCCACTTCATCAGATCCTGTCGTTACAGATTTTGTCTTTTAAAATGGCGCCACACCATGCCTTAGTTCTTTTTGGTCTTTTAATTATGAGAAATTATTAAAAGAAACTCAAATTTTAAAAAATAATAAATGGATCATCATTTGTAAAAAAAATAATTAAGAATAACGTGATAGTTAATGACTTTGACATATAATAAATTTAATGTTTAAATTTTAAACATCGTTATAATTTATTTTAATTTTAAAATATTTTATCTATTTAATTTTAAAATTTTTAAAGAAAATTTGAAAGCCATATCAAAACCATGTGCCACCCTTTTCATTGCTTTTACTCCCAATTTCTCTATCTTTACCTCCATTCTTCGAACCTTAATAGTTATATTTTAGAACAATAGGTTCTTGATTTTAATGCTTTTAAAAAACTTATTTTCTAATTGTCAACAATCATTATAGCAGGTGGATAAAAACTATCAGTTGAAATCTGCCCTATTCTCGTGGTACTAAAATTTGAGAAGGTCCGTGTCTCTTATCAATTGACTCTACCAACAGTAATGGTACGGTTTGCACCTCCAGAGATCCCACATTTTTCTTAAGAATAGACAAACAAAAAACATGAATTCTTGAAATTGTAAGTAAATTCAGTTTACCTGCCACACTTCCAATCCATTTAAAAACACAAATTGTCCCAAAATGCTTTTGGCTTAATTTATAATTGCAAAGAAGGTTATAGCTCCAGTTTGCCTACACACACTTTCGGAGCTGTAAACCCATTTGTTCAAGGCTTGAATTTGATCATTGTTAGTAAATGGTTAACAAAAAATTTATCACGATGATATGCAATAGGTGTTTCAACAATTTTTACATGTTTCACAATCACATATCAACTTTAACAACATTGATTATTACATTAGGAAAAGAGTTAAAATCTCTACAAATATTGTAACCCCCTCAGACCGATGTGGATAACCCGATCCGATCTGGAGTGTCACATTATGGCCACCGGAGCGACCCACTGTAAAAATAGCGGAAAATTTAAAACATTTCTTAAAACATGTAAACTCATAAAATCATTTATGAGTACAAAATAAAAGTTATCAGTATTCGAAATAAAACATATTTTCAAACTCGTATATAAAACAAAATACAATTACATACCCTCTAATTACATGTATCATACTCTTCAAACAACGCCAGAAGAGCTCCCTTACTGATGTCAATAGATGCAATGATACGATTCTTTTAACCTGAAAATGTGAGTAACAGAGTGAGCTTTGGAAAGCTCAGTAATACAGAACTACCAGATGATGCTGAAGAACGTGCAGATACATATAAACATATATTTCCTTATTGGTTCAGATATCTACAGATTTTTAGGCTGAGCTGAGGTCCCATTAATATCTCAGGTAGTAACAAATAATATTCAGTTCAGATGGAAATATTTCGGATATCTAGGTTCAGGAGATTGAAATAGGTTATCTAGTGTGTTCCCGTAAAATCAGTAAAAAGATACAGATAAAATATTTTAGTAAAATCGGTTTATGTAACATGTTTTAAAAACATGAACACTACCCCCATCCGTCAAGTCCAAAATATGTAGGTTCCCCAGAACCATACACCCACCGTCAAGTCCAGTAAGGCCCTGAGCACAAAGCCGAGGAGCCAGTAAGTAAGGCCCTCAGCACAAAGCCGAGGAGCCTCCAGGTATACTTCCTCCAACATTACCCCCAAATAAAATATGTTCCGTCCGTAAACGAATATATCAAAAATCAAAACATAATCCAGGTCAAGTATCATATTAGAACCCATGTTAGGTATCATAACAGATTTCATATCGAAAATCAAATAAAATATTCATGTGATTAGAGAACACACCAGAGTTTACAGATATTATTCAAAGGTGCTGAATAATCTTATCATGTAGAGAAACACGGATCTTCAATATACCGATAGAATGTCGAAATTTAGAATCACTATTGGGAGAGTTCAATAACTGACAGAATCATCAGTTATTTAGAATGAGACTTGAGTTAATAAGGAATAAATGAAGGTTCAAGACAATTACAGTCTATGTCTATATATCGGATTATCAAAATTACTCAAGCAAAACAACTTCAAGAACTAATACATGTTGACCGATCCATTCATTGTCCTTCCACCTATTCACTCTTTAATACCAATAATTATTGTCCATAAATCATCTTTTGAGTCATCGCTAAATGGATCTTCCAATAGTCTTTATTTCATTTCCATGCTTCAACGATATCAAGAAATGCTGATGTACTTGATTTTTGGTTCATAACCCATAGTATTGGTACACTATGTAAACTCATCAGAGTTTCCAGACTTATCCAAATCACTTACTTAATCCTTAGTCATTGAGGTTACTTAGTTCATTTAGCAGTCAAGTCTATTCCAGTTACTTCAGGGTTTTCCAGAGTAATTCAGACTCTTCTGAATTTTGGATACATATTATACTTCCATTCAATTCAATTTGGTATTCGTAGTTGATTTGTCTAATGAATATCCACTTCTTAATATCGAATGCGATCTAGAGTTGAGCTGAGCTGAGTACTTCCAGAATTATCATCGATCCAAACTTGAGGAGACGAACAAGGATTCGAGTGGTATCTATGCTATTCAGGTACTGACATAGCATTAGCGTTGGTCAATTCACTTAAGTTGAGTTCCATATCTTTTAAGGGTAGTACAACGCCCATGTTTATTTGGATTCCTTAATTAATCCAAGACATTTACTTAGTCTAGGTTATAAGGGCATTTTGGTCATTTTGGTGCTAATTATTTTCCATTCATTTCAAAGCTTGAGGATATCCATTCCTTTATGGGCTTGGCAATATTCTTGGTTCATTTATATTACAGGGGTATTTTAGTCATTTTACAAATCTAGGGTATTTCAATCATTCCTTTCAGTCCAACCTTAATATTATTAAATTCAAACGTATCATATTTTCCAGTCCTTTTAAACACCCTCGATAATTTATTCTTAACTCGGAGATTTTCAAGTAAATTGTCTTCTCTTAAGTTACTAACAGGTTATCAGGAATTTTCTATACAAAGAGGGATCTTAATAATTAAATCCGTAATTTATCGAGTTAAGTACGAATCCTCAAAGTACTTTCTCATTTAGGGTCAACTCAAACTATTTTTACCTCTCAAGGGCATTTTCATAATTTTTTAACCAGATAATTTCGGTATTAACTCTTAACGAAAATAATTATAATTTAGAGATCCTATGGTTAATTGATTTCCCGAACATTCTCTGATCTTGAAATGATTTTTAATGGACTTTTAGTATCTTGCACAAACCCTATTAGGGTTAAAAACCAGTTATCCAAATCTTCTAAGCAAAACTAGCATTTCTTATGCATGTCTGTAGTTTTATCTGATCAATATGTCTTTTCAGAGTTATTAATCAACTTCCAGGGACAATTCTTGTCATTTTACAACATACGAGTATTTTCGTAATTTTTCCAAACTGGAGTATTCTCATAATTTCTCATCCGAGTACCTTCAACATTTAACCTTTGATGACATAAAGTATAAGTTACATATCCAGGGTTGATTCCTTTATCAAAATCACAGAAATTGTAATTTTATTCTAACAATCCTTTAATTTCTTATATTAGTCATCCGAGTCATATTCAGTTACCAAATTTTTACCACATTCATATCGAGTGTATGAATTAATTAAATTCCTAAATGAGACCAATCATGTTCATTCATGAATTTACCAATACCAACATGTTTCATAAAGCAGGAAAAGGTAGTAATGTATTATCTCGATTTTCATGCCATACTGATCGACCATATAAATTCCATTCGAATGTCCTCGATCTTTAAT